CACAATACCTGGCACATGGTAGGTGTGTGGAACCAATAAACATTTCTATCCATGGGCTGGATATAGTGGTTCATGTCTGTAGTCCCAGCTCTTTGGGAGGTTGAGGCGGGCGGATCACTTGAGGTCAGCAGTTCTAGATCAGCCTGGCCAACAAGGCAAAATCTACTCTCTACTAACAAAATACAAAAATTAGGCTGGGCGCAGTGGCTCACTCCTGTAATCACAGCACTTTGGGATGCTGAGGCTGGCAGATCATGAGGTCAAGAGATCGAGACCATCCTGGCTAACATGGTGAAACCCAGTCTCTATTAAAAATACAAAAAATTAGCTGGGTGTGGTGGTGGTCACCTGTAGTCCCAGCTAATCGGGAGGCTGACCCAGGAGGCAGAAGCTGCAGTGAGCCGAGATTGTACCACTGCACTGCACTCCAGCCTGGGAGATAGAGCAAGACTCTGTCTCAAAAAAAAAAAAAAAAAACCCAAAAACAAAAAATACAAAAATTAGCCAGGCATAGTGGTGTGTGCCTGTAGCCCCAGCTATTTGGGAGGCTGAGGCAGGAGAATCACTGAGATCATACCACTGCACTCCAGCCTGGATGACAGAGCCAGACTCTGTCTCAGAAAAAGTCCACACACACACACACACACAAAAAAAGTTTGTATCCATGGACACGCCTGCTCCATGTATATAAGTATGTAGATAATAGCTGTGTGTTCTCCTTTCCTTTCCTGGCTAAATGTTCCCTGTGTATTGCTACAGTGCTTTGAAAGATGAAGCTCTGCAGAGAATGTAGATTAGATTCAGTTTTTGAACACTGACAAAATTATGTAAACATCACCAACCACATCAAGTATGAAATTTTAAAATATTCAAAAAACAGACTCCTTGTCATGTTTTTCCTTTTAACTAAATCTGAAGAAAATGCAATTTCAGTGTGTGCATCTGAGGGGCTATTAGTGTCTGAGCTACATGATGTTGGGATGAAACCCACGTCCCAGGAGTAATCCCTATGGTCTGTGAATTTTCTTTTCAGCAGTTTACATCGCCGAGATTTTTTTCTATTAAATGTACAAAGTTATAAAATTCAAGCCAATTTGAAATGAAAGAATTTTGGATTAATTTTAAAGAATTAAAATTCTCAATCAAAATAGTTGGACTTTTTCTAGAGTTATATGATGATTAACCTAGACATCATAACTGATGTGATTTAAGCCAAACACTAGAAGTCCACATTAAACTGGAGAGGCAGTGTGGACCAGTGAGGGAGAGGACTGTGTTCGTTATAAGCAGACCAAAAGCTCTGCTCAATGTAGACCAGTGACTCTACATCTTATTGAGTTCATGTCACCCTATCGACCTCAGTTTTCTCATCTGTGAAATGGAAGGGTCAGATGAGACATTTAAGGTTTCTTTATGTCTAATGATTTTAGGATGGTGAGCATTTTCTTAAGGCAGTTATTCATGACCCATAGGAAAGTTAGGATGATCTGGCCTTGGTGCAGACACAGATCCCAGGACTGAGGTATCTCAGTTTCTGACAAGGTGAAATAACAGCAGTAATTCAAATTTTGGTGGGCACCCAGAGAGAAGCACTTCCTAAAACACAGATACTGGGCCCACCGCTCACCACCCATAGCCTCATCTCTGCATCTGACTCAGAAGATCTGGGGGTGGAGCTTGAACGTGTTAATTTCTAACAAGTCCAGGTGATGCTGATGCAGCACTTTGAGAACCACTGCACTAGAATATTTTGAAAATACTTTCCAACTCCAAGAATCTATGGTGAGGTAGTTAGGGGCAGTGGCCTCACACCTGTAATCCTAGCACTTTAGAAGGCCATGGCAGAATGATCACTTGAGGCCAGGAGTTTCAGACCAGCCTGGGCAACATAGAGAGATCCTATCTCTAAAAAAAATTTAAAACTTGGCCAGGCATGGTGGTGTACACCTGTAATCCCAGCTACTCGGGAGGCTCAGGTGGGAGGATCATTTGAGCCCCAGGTTTAAAGGTTACAGTGAGCTGTGATTGCACACTGCACTCCAGCCTGAGTGAGTGAGCAAGACTCTGTCTGAAAAAAAATATCTATAGTGAGTTATCAGGAACTGAGTAACCCCTCTATTTTAAGGAGCTACTTCTACTAGTTGCCAGTATACCAAGAGCGGGCTTCCTTTTCCATGGGTATTTCAGACAGTGCAAAAATAATTTCAAGGGGCACATGTAATTAATTGTATAACCACCTTCTCTTAAGAGACATAATCAAGATTTTCAGAACATTTGGCCTCTTGTAATAAAAACACTCAAGTTTCAGGAAACCTTAGGTAATGTAGATGGCTGTGTGATTGGCCTGGCATCATATCACCAGGTTTGCTGGAAAGAGAGAAAGCACAGCTTCATCCACACTGTGTTCACTAATTCAGAGAACAGACAGTTAGCTTCCAGAAGGCTGAGAGTTCTTAAGTCCCCCCATCATTATATAAAGCCCACTCCAAAACTCACTCTAGAAGGTGTAGGCTAAAAACACAAACAAACAAAAAAGATTGTTGATGAAGTCATCTATATCGCTAGATCTCAAACTTGGTGGCACTTAGGAATTACTTGGAGGGGAATTTAAAAAGTACTGAGGCTTGAGTCCCACCTTCAGAGATTGACTCAACCCAGGCATTGGAATTGTTAATATTAATAGCTCCCCAGGAATAACTGTGCAACAAAGTCTAAGAATTACCAATCTATAAACGAACAGAATCAATCTGTTCTTTATTGCTTTGGGTCCCACAAGCTATTGTTGTCATGCCAAACAGCATGACCATGTGTCTTAAATGACCCTGCAGATTAAACACTGAAATTTTTACAAGTCCACAAAGGGTCACAAGTCCACAGAGGGTCAAACACAATAGAGCTAAAAATATTTCTTAGCTCTGTTAATGCACCTTTTCATGCAATTCAATAAATACTTTTTGCAACAAGATGTGCCCCAGAAAACACATATAGTTTCTGCTGCAGAAAGCCAGGTGAGGTTTGCCAGGGGAGGAGTTTTACCTTCTGAATTATAAGCACCTTGAGGACATCATCCACATCCTAAAATCCTTCAAACTCCCAAGTGCCTATGTGACTCAGCACTGGGCACATTAGAGTCACTGAACAAAGACTCGTTCAACTGACTTGAAATTATGACTGTATTAAGCATGCGGGAATGTAGATCTTAGCAGTATACTCGTTTCCTTGTGAAGGACATGGTACATGTTTCCATGTGTGTTTTTGGAATGTGCACAGTTTAATTCCTTTGCATTACTTAAAGTAAATGAGAACATTAAGAATGGGGCTTTATACATAACCTGTGTAACTATTTATTGAGAAAATATCCCTTTTCCAAAGTGGATGGAAGTTTCTTGTGTCTGAAGACACATATCTTTCTGGCTACAGCCAACAAAACATAGACGCCACCCAAGGCAGAGAATATTATGTGTGTATCACTTTTGGCTTTTGCTTCTATCTTACAAAGCTCTAGCCATAAGAAAGTTACTACAGAGTAGAGGTAAAAGACAGCCCCGCATCCGTTAGAGACACAGGCCCATCTTTGTCACATTTGCATGTGTCATTCTAGATATTTTCTTAGAACACCACAAACTAAACATGTGGTTAAGATCCAAGCAGATTGAAAACTGTCTTGGCTGAGGCCAGAAAGAATGGTGAAAACTTGAAGGCTGATTTTTTACTCGAAAGTGCTCTTCAGCACTTTCCCCACCTACCCCATCCATTGCTAATTAGGAGCAGCCAAGGTTTGACATGTACACAGTTCTCTATGGTAAAATTGATTATTATATTACTATGGAAAACAAGGAAGTCATTTCATTCGAAATATCAAATTCCACTAAAATCATACATGGCAGCTGTTAGCGTATGCACGTGGGGGAGGGGTGGGTGTGTGAACCTATTAACCCTCTCCCCTTCAGTTTTCTGACATCTCAGAGTTGCAAGAAAGAAAAAGATTCCAGCGCCTCTAAGGCAGAAACCAAAGGCAAAGCTGCACAAAAGATTTTTTTAAGAGTAAAACAAAATCCCCGTAATATAAGATATACCATCCATGCCGTTTTCTGAGTATGGATTCACTTTTACACACTTGCAAGCCGAAAACTAGTATTCTTCTACTGCGAGCGTTGAAGCTACTTGTGATTGCATCAGATACAGAAATGAGGTGAGTCATGTTCGGTTGCGCTTGAGTCTGCTAACAGACCATCACATCCATGTCCAAATTTGTGCCCTGAACCGCACGACAGAAGTTTACACACTTGCTTGCTGGCTTGGCGATGATGAAAATAGTTTTGTTTAAATACTTAACTTAAAGATAACCTAAGAGGTGCTGAAATTCATGTTCTCGCTACTTCAGGGGTACTCAGAAGCCATTATCAAGGCTCGTTTCTTGGCAAGATATCCCCTGCTCATGAATTTTAACACGACACTCTCTTCCTGGTCCAGAATGTGTCACACTGTGCACTCAACGATACGAGACATTTCAAACACCTTTAAGTTCATTTTCCATCACTGCCAAATTCCAGTGATTAACACAAAACACCTCACCCTTAAGCGACGCCTATCATTTATAAAGTTTTGGGATTCCGAACGCATCCCCTTCCATTCTCCCAGATCTGGTGATAACGCAGTCTGTTTTCCAGTAGCCTCACAACTCTTCTTTATTCAAAGAGTTTAGTAACCAGCGTAAAAAGACCATCTAGACTTTCTGACATTAGGATCGCCAATTTCACTGGGGTCATGAGGAGCTGTTTTAGGTCACATGTTAAACTGCCGTTGTGAATCATTTGTTAATTTTTTTTTTAAACGGAGAGGGTGGGGACACGGACAAATTGCACACTCATGCACAAATGCTCAGCACCGAGAACATGTTCAGAGGTGCTGCCTGGACCGGAGAATTAAAAAAGAAACTAACAAAACCTCGATTTCTCCCTTGTGCTGGGGAAAGGTAGGATGACATCATGCAACCTTACCTTTCTGAAACAGACCAGGGTGCCTGGCACGACGCGCTGACCTGCGGCCACCGAAGCTGGGAGTCATTTTGGGTGTTGCGCATGTGCCTCCCTAGAAAATTCCAGTGACACCCTACCAGCTTTCTGCGTGCTAATCATGACAAGCCTCCACTCAAACTTTCCCCTGGAAAGGGAAGAGGAGGAAAGGGGCAGAGGAGGGGGTATGGGAGCGAGGGAGGGAGGGAGGGGGTGAAAGAGAAAGAGCAGCGCCTGAGCACGGCATACCCGCCTGGAAGGGCAGTCACATGCCACCGGGAGCCATTCCTGCTGCATTACACATGCTGAGTGTAAATGGCAAACAATATCAGTCGATGTTTATGCCACATGTTCTCAGCCTCTTCACATATCAACACCCAAGCCAGCTCTATGCAGACAGGCCTCCTGAGAGCGCTTTTGAAGGAGGGGTCTAGGGCTGACCGCGCTGACCACTTTTAATAAAATTGCAAACCCTCGCCTGGCTTACTTCCCTATTTTTTGCTGCTGCTGTGGGTGGTGGTGGTCTGCTTGTTTGTTTGCTTGTTGTTTTTTACTCTGGGTTTTCAGCGGTGAAAATTTGGTCCGGAAGATACCCTAAAAAATCTTAGAAATCCAGCTACATCTGACAACGCCAGCAAGCTGACGCCCAACCAGCAAAGCTCCTGAAACAGTTGCCCTTCTTTACTTCTGTGGAACAGAAAATGAACTGAGATGACCCATCATTTCACCCACCCAGTGGTAACTGCAATACCTTTCAGTATGAAAAGCAGAGTCTCCTTTGCTCTAAGCAGTGGCTGGGGGCAATTCTGGTCCCCAGGCTAATGCTGGAAATAGTTTGTTGTCAGAACTGAGGGGGAGGATGGAATGCAACTGGCATCTACTGAGCGGAGACCAGGGATGCTGTAAAAATCCTGCAATGCTCAAGACAGCCACCACAAAAGAGAGTTATTTGGCCCAAGATACTAATACTGTCGCAGTTGAGAAACTGTGCTCTCAGACTAATGCCTTCAACCAGTCTTGCAGAAAGTATAACTCCCGCCCCCCGCCAAAAAAAAGCCAAGAAGCCCCTCTCCGTGAGGAAGTGGCTGAAGGCCCTGGATGGCCTCATTCAGAGTTTGATTACTTGAAACACAGCTTTTCTTCCTAGGAGCCACTGTTCTCCTGCCAACTTGCTTTTAATTTTCTCCTTCCAGATCTCACACTGCAATCCTTAAACACTCAAACCAAACTAAACCTTCATGTGATTTTCTAAAATCAAAATCTGTTGTCACAGGTTCCTCATTGCCAGGTTATGCAAAGCAACCATCCTTCCAATTTTTCCTGTGTGGGGCAGGCTGAGGTTCACCTGCAATGCCTGGCATCCACTATAATCCCCTCCCTCAAATAGTCAATAGGGTATATTCCTTTTAAAACGTCAAAACTCCCCAGGAGCTTATAAATGACTTAGTGATTGAAGCTCACTAGATTCTCCTATTTTACTTAGTCCCTTGGAGAAGATGGGTGTTGGGGGTCAGATCACCTCCTACCTGGCACCACCCGTGGGTACCCTGGCATCAGGGAGGCTTCCCCCCTGCTGGGACTGAACTCAGATCCAGTGTGTGATATATCTACAGCCGCACTGAAAAATCAAAAGTGAAAGCCAGTTGTTGGATATGTTTGGCCAGCCTGTTTCCAGCTGCCCACCAGAGGCCCTTCCACGGCCTACCTGCCCCAGTGAACTCCCAGGAGAGCCCAAGGGCCCTTTCTTCCTAATTTAGTCACAGCCCACAGGCTGCCTCGGGCTCCGTTGGCTTCAGCCGCTGACTCGGTCACAGACACCTAAAGGCGCCAGTCCCAGCTCCTGACCTAAGGGAGCCAGCCAGCCTGGCCGCGGCTGCCTTTCTCTTCTGGCCTTGAGTCCTCCCCATGGTCTGCTAGGTTCCCCGAGCTCCAAGGCAGTCCTCTAGTCAGCATGCTTTGCCCTTCCTCTCTCAGTCTTCTTTCATTATGCCCAGAACTTTCTTAGGATAAGAGTTTACCGAAAAGCGCCCCACCACGTGTCTTCCCAAATCCACACAGAAGGCTCTGCTCCTCTCTGCCGCTGAGGGAGAGCAGTGATATGCCATGGCGAAAACAGTCTTAACAGTGGCTAAAAACAAACACCTGAAACCTGCCAGCCACAGCAAAGAAGGATGAGGACAATCCTCCCTGCAGGATTCTGGTAGAAGCCATGTGTCACCTGGTGCAGCCGGAGCTGTGTATCTGCTATTGTGAGCTCCATAACATGATACACTGAATAAAAGAAAAGGCACCCTCATACATGGCCTGGCTACAATTCCCAGGAGAAGAAATGCCAATACTTAGAATAAGCCCTTCTGATTCTATGGTCCTAGCTCTTACCCAGAGACCAGAACACAACTCCAATTCCAATCTGGAAATGAAGAGGCACAAGCTAAACACCCCAAATGAAAATTCAGTTCCATGTCGCAGGCACGTATTGAGTACCTACTGTATACCAGCACTGTACCAGGCAAGGAAGGACAGAAGAGCCTGAGGCAGGCAGTAGGCGTGCATGAACAACACATTATGCTACCTGCTTCACACATTTTCTTGATCCTCACAAGTCTTAAAAAAAAATTAAGATCACTATCCCCATTTTACAGATAAGAACACTGAGGCTCCAAATGACTGAGCACCCCACCTTAAGTGTCAAAGCCTTGTATACGATCATTTGAAACTTTGTCTGCTGGATTCCAAAGACTTTGTATTTCCACTAAAGCACCTCCCAGTATGCAAAGTGAGTCATAAACATAAATAATATAGTAAAACGAAATGAACGCTACAAGTAAGATGTGCTCAAAGTACACTGAGTGCAGAACCGACCACTTGTGAGGCCCAGTACAAAAAAAAAACGCAGGGTACTTGTTTAAAACGTATTAACACTTTCAAGATGGCAACAGCAGAGCATTTAACCAACCAAGCACAGGGCCCTTCTCGATGTGAACCTCAGTGCAAATTCGTGCCCATGAAGTCAGTCCCTAATGGGAAGGAAGAACTCAGGCTGGTTGAGACTAGAAACCACATCTTCCATCTACCCTGAAAGCAGCAGGTTAAGAGAGCACCACAGCCTTGAGGTTGCTGCTGGTTATCTAAGTCTGTCCCTATGGCCTTTGGTTAATCCTTTCTCTGTTTTTTTTTTTTTTTTTTT